TGTAAAACTATTAAAATTAATTCGCAGATGACAAACGTCTTCATTCTATTAGGCCATAGATGCAGTGCCGTGGGAAGGGGGTGCGGATGGCGCGATCCGCCCTGGGTGGCACATTATTCTTAATATAGAAGGGTGGCGTTTTCGGAAAACTACAAATGTTTTATCGTAGACCCGTGGAGGGGGGGGGGGGCGGCAAAATTCTTGGCCCGGGGCAAGCACGAACACTTGCTAAGCCACTTCACCTGTACCAATTCGGGATTTAATATTGGGGGCTAATTTTGGGGAAAATTGGGTGGCACATTATTTTTAATATAGAAGGGTGGGGTTTTCGGAAAACTACAAATGTTTTATCGTAGACCCGGGGAGGGGGGGGGGGGCGGCAAAATTCTTGGCCCGAGGCAAGCACTAACACTTGCTAAGCCACTTCATCTGTACCAATTCGGGATTTAATATTGGGGTCTAATTTTTGAGAAAACATGTTCCTAAATACACTGTTTTACATGTTTTAGATTCCAAATGGCTCTGTAGTTGTGCTGTGGTTTTCAAATAGATAATACAAAATAACTTTGTTTTTCTTCCGATAGCGATCATAATAAGTAGTTTATAATGCTCCAAAATAGATATAGAAGTATATAAAAGAAAATAACTGCCAGCTGAAATCATTGTAATTAGAAAAGGTAAAAATAGCTTGCAATACCATTTCTGCCACCTCCACATAATTGCTGAAAGAAGGGGCATCCGCTAAAGGTCAAACGCCAACATTTCTTAATTCTTTACTCAATCAGACATGCCGGAAGTTGGTGATCCCAATAACGGGGCAACGGTGTTCACAGATCGTGGCACTGTTATCGTCGGAGACATGGAGTTTGGCCTGGTGAGTTATAGTTATCGAGATTTATGAACAGCAGATTTATAAAGATAAACGATGTTTTTTGTTTTGTTTTGTTTTTTAAATTAAAAAAAAATTGAGTTCAAAGTCAAGCGACCATAAGAAAGAATAATGGGAGGTCAATAAATTTGTATTGGCTGTATGCTCAAAAAATGTTATGTAAGGTAATAAATCCATCAGGTTTTAGAAAGATAAATGCCCCAAAAGACTGGGTTTCAAATTCTGGTCACTTAAAATAATGACATTTATTCTCCACTCAGCACAGGAATGCTTTGGTCAATCCTGCCAGCCGTTGGCCGCATGGCCAAGTGCCGTATGTCATAAACAGCACTTACCGTAAGTTTATGATTCGTACTCAAAGGATTTTCGAATGATGTCATTCCTTTTATATTCATCATCTATTTTAGTCTTTAAAAGATAAACAATTTTTTGTCAACTTAGATGTTAGATTGCTTTTCTTCGGACATTCTACCAACCACAGGGTCGCTGTTTCTAACTAATTATTAGAGTATTGGGCTGTGATGAAGATTTGAAGTAGATTAATGAGACAAAGACAAGTTGCGTAAATTTAAAAAAAGTGTATGTTAAGTTTCAATTTTGATTTACTACATACAAATTCAAAGTTTCGGCTCATTCCGTTCTCATTAAAACGAAAAAGTAATATAATTATAAATTAAATTTACACATTATATATTTATAACTAATCAATACTTAAAAAATAAAATAAAAGAATAAGAATGTGAACTAGTCCGTCACGAAAACACCGAGCCTTACCTGCCTGCATGTTTTGTCCAATTTTCAGCCCCCCCCCCCCCCCCCCTCGCTCCTTTTATTTTTTTTTTCCCATTTTTACCCCCCCCCCCCCCCCCAATTGCTCGATTTTATTTTTTTTTAAATATACGAATCACTTTGCTTTTTTAGGGCTTGTTTAATTACTGTCTCATTTCTAGCGTTGAAATGCCTTGTACGTGAATTTCATTTCCTCAGGGCCAGCAGCAAAGAATGACAGTCACTCAAAAACCTTTCAGTGATACAACCTTCTTAACAAATCTTTTTGGCACTCATTTCCTTTACATCATTTTTTCTTCTCTAATTTCTTTGATTGGCTAGTTGGGGAGATTTCCTAGAGGCCCGCCATTGTTGTACTGTACGTTCATAAGTACAATATGTTCATAGTACAATAAGTTTATAAGTACGACACGTTCATAAGTGCAATTCCTTTTATTTTACAAGACTTTCATTAGTACAAGAGGTTCATTTGTACAATACGTTAATTTGTACAATAAGTTCATAAGTAAAATACATTCATGAGTACAATACGTTCTTAAATACAATACGTTCATAAGTACAAGAGGGTCGTTTGTACAAGACGTTCATTTGTACAAGACGTTTATTAGCAAAATGCATTCGTTTGTGCAAGACACTAAAAGGCGCGGGGCCCCCTAGGGATGTACCTCATTTGCCATTTCATCCGGCACCAGTTGTGGCAAACATGATAACCTAATGACGTAAAGACATTAAGCTATTTATCCGTCAAAATACGATAATCCCAAATGTTGATGTTAGCACACCTCAATACAATAGCCTAGAAATGCTAGCTGACCAGTTAGAATACTTCGGAAAGGTGTAATAAAGGTAAAAAAGAAAGGCCAACAATTTTAAAAAAAAACATTTCTTTTCCGCCTCTCAGAAATAGATTTTTGTTAGCTCCCTTTCTCTATTGCTCAGTTGTTGTCTAGACCAAATATTTATGTGAACAACAGGATTGAATAAAATCGCTGGCATATTATGTCAACAGCGGCAGCAGTCCATGATGTCATCATAGCGGCCATGAGAGAAATAGAACATGACGTCAACGGACCTGCCACGTGCATCAAGTTCATACCACGGACGACACAGGCAAACTACATAGAGGTCACTCGAAGAACAGGGTGAGTAGCACAGGCCAACTACATAGAGGTCACTCGAAGAACAGGGTGAGTAGCACAGGTCAACTACATAGAGGTCACTCGAAGAACAGGGTGAGTAGCACAGGCCAACTACGTAGAGGTCACTCGAAGAACAGGGTGAGTAGCACAGGCCAACTACGTAGAGGTCACTCGAAGAACAGGGTGAGTAGCACAGGCCAACTACATAGAGGTCACTCGAAGAACAGGGTGAGTAGCACAGGCCAACTACATAGAGGTCACTCGAAGAACAGGGTGAGTAGCACAGGCCAACTACATAGAGGTCACTCGAAGAACACGGTGAGGTTTTTTATCAGTGCCGAGCAAAGCGTTGAAAACATTTGTTGGGAAGCTATCTTTCCCTTACAATAAAGTGAACCGTTTGACCATGTGAAGGGATTTCTTAACGCAAGATTTTAACGCAATCGCTTCTTCGTGGTGGCTTAAGATAAAAATGTTTTGTGGCATGACACGTCTCATTTAAAACATTTCATGTAGAATTCGTATACAGTTAAAATATTTAATGAAATCATATATTTCCACTTTTTTCTTGAGTAAACAAGACAAATTTGTTACAGAGTTTTTGAAAAAATGTGATTTCAGGTAAAATTCCGCGTAAGAACACGTGTACACAATTACGTTCACACAAGACATCTACACTCTAAAAATACACACAACAACGTGTAGTGACACACCTACACAATGGATAACAGACGAAAACGTTAAAATTGACCTATTTTTTTAAAAAAGGATTAAAATCTCCGTCTTGTTTAGTGGTTCTGAATCTCTCTAAACCCGCGACCCTATAATACACCCCCCCCCCTAAATTGGTCGCGAACCACAGGTTGAGAACCGTGATTCTAGACTCGGGCGCGAGTGTAAGAAATCTAGAGATGATATGAGTGACGCAAAGCAAATTAATAAATAAAACATATTTTCAAATTATCCCGCAAAAATCTCCTCCCACCAGGTGCCACTCAATTGTTGGCTTCACCAACAATGGCAAACAGGAAGTGTCCATCGGTGGCGGCTGCGAGGCCAAAGGTACCATCATGCACGAGCTCATCCACAGCCTCGGCTTCATGCATGAGCACAACCGTGTGGACAGGGACAGCTACATCAACATTGATTCCCACAACATCGTAGCAGGTAAGACAAACCAAAGAAGACAGGGTGGATGAAGTGGAGATCATGCTACATCAATTTTTCAACAATGAATAGATACAGAAATAAAAATCAGTTCTTGACATAGAACAACAAAATCAAGGCCGGGCTTGATAAATCTGAGATGTGGTAAGATAAACCAATTATAATTAAATAAGAAAAGGGGGAAAACAAATTATGTGAACACCTGGGAAAATTAACGCAACAAAACAACGAACGTGTTGGCAGGAAGCCTTCGTCAGCGAAGAAACAACAGAAATAAAAGAGTTAAATATAAAAAACTGCACTTAGCTGAAAAGTGTATCCAAGAGGGCAACAAAAGCATTGACTATTCTTAGATTAATATACAGAAACCTCTTGACACCTGCAGACGTGTGTAATGTACAGCACACATTGGAGGTTTGACAATCACAGCGTAGGAAGCAAGCAATGATTATGGGGCAATCTTAACCATACAAAACTTATGTAGGCCTATACCTTATGCAAACATAGTGTCTTTCCACCTTTGAAATAATTTAATACATGAAGAGAGCCTTTAAGAAGTAATGGTCGGGGCAGAGGCGTCAAAAAAGAGGAGAATCTAGGGGCTTCCAGGGGCTTTCAGGGGCTTTCAGGGGCTTTCAGGGGCATTCAGGGGCATTCAGGGGCATTCAGGGGCTTTTAAGGCCTTATTAAAAGCATTTTGTTATATTAAAATTATCTATAAATATTATACCTAAGAAACAACAAGGTGTTATCTCAAATAATTTCTCCATTAATTTCTCTAGCCAAATGTTGTGTTCAAATAATAAAGCCCTGAAATCATTAAATAATCACTAAAAATGGAATGCGAAAATTTTGTTTTAAAAGTTAGTTATAATATGGTGTAACCATGCGAATAACAGCGAGAGCCATAAACTATAACCAAAAAAAAAAAAAAACTCCTTTACCCAGTAAGACGTTATTTTCCTTGTCATATGAATCAACCAAAAATAATTGATTACCTATCTCCTTTAGGCTCCATGATAGACTTCGCCATCACGACTATAGCCAAAGCTACCACACAGAACACTGCCTACGATTTCAACTCCATCATGCACTACGGTCCTTACGCCTTCGCCATTGATCACACCAAACCCGTGATAACCCCCAAGGCTGGGAAAGCTCCGCCTAACGCCAGACTGGGGCAGCGAGTCAACCTGTCACCCACCGATGTGCTGGAGATACAGCGACTGTACGGGTGTCATGAAGGTAAGCTAAGATGAGAAGTGTGGGACTGTACGGGTGTCATGAAGGTGAGCCAAGATGGGAAGTGTGGGACTGTATGGGTGTCATGAAGGTAAGCTAAGATAGGAAGTGTGTGACTGTATGGGTGTCATGAAGGTGAGCCAAGATGGGAAGTGGGTGACTGTATGGGTGTCATGAAGGTAAGCTAAGATGGGAAGTGTTGGACTGTATGGGTGTCATGAAGGTAAGCTAAGATGGGAAGTGTGGGACTGTATAGGTGTATTGAAGGTAAGCTAAGATGGGAAGTGTGGGACTGTACGGGTAGACTTAGTTCCAGCTGTTAAAAGTAATGAAGACGTAGAGGTGTTGAGAATACTTGAAGGCATTGGCGTAGCTGGGTTGGTGTCACCTGATGTCTCCCCTCCACCACGCGACTTCCACGATGGATTTCTCCATGTTAAAATAAGTCGACTGTATAAAAATGACAAGAACAATAAAGTCCATTAATTGAAGGTCAGGAGGTAAATTTATTTAAGAGCTGTAACAACGTTAAGTTATAGTTATATCGACATTAAAATTACTTTATTATTTAAATTTTTACTTTCCTGGTCTTCAAAGCTGCAAACCTGTCAATCCCTGGATAAGAATCACTATCCTTCCCGTGTCAGTTTCAATTGATAGCAGAGCCAGATCAGAAAGCTTTGACTGTCCCATGGTGGATCGTAATAAAGTCCTTATAGTTTAGAAAAGCTCCGCTCACATGAAGCCACAAAGACACAAATCGTAGGAAACAGTTGAAGGCTTAGCGAGAGTGTTTGCAGTAGAAGAGATTCTAGAAAGTCTTATTCAGCTATGAATTTAAAGACATCAAATTCTGAACAGTCCATGACGTGGTGAAATTAATTATCAGGTGTCTTAAAGCGTCTTCTAAGCCTTGGTATTTCTTTGAAAAGTTCATCTTCTGTTATCACATCATATAAAGAGGTTAAGTTTGGAACGGACGCCAATAACTCTTTTTTTTTCCCTTGCTGATAGCAGACTCCTGGGTTGAACAGCCGCAAATGCATCTATTACTTCCTTGATCGCTTGATGATCTGATCTGGCGTTCAGAAAGAAAGCGATCAATACACTCCAGCATATTCAAACTGTTTTCTTCTCGCAGAGCGAGTCCAGCATCTATTACTTTTTCTCTCAATGTTCTCTTCTTAAACTTTAATCTTCCTTCTACCGAAATTCCTTTTTAGTCTGTTTTTAAAAGTTCCTCTTCAATAGCACGTGCCGCCAAGTGACAGTGCTTCTTGTGCCGAAACAATCTAATGGCCTCTATAGGTTGGTCACCACTTTGTCAAAAATGAAGCCTTTAGTCTGCAGATACTGTTTTGTAAGATAAACTTACTTCCCCTAAGATGGTGTCACCTGGTGCGGTCCTCACCCCCTAGTTACGCCACTGCTGAAGAGCTTATGGCATGAAACACACTCTAAACTTATTTATTTGTATTAAAAAAAGCGACCACCAGTAAATCGAACTCTATTTGTTATGTCTTTAAAACATGAACATTTTATGTAAAGTCATTTGCATGTTGACTTTTTGTTTTGTAGCTGTAAATTTGATTTTTATTTATATATTATTCTTTTGTTTTTATTTGTAGATACGACCCACATTACGCAACCATGTAAGTCCTATGAATTTAAATCCTTTATTAAAAAAAATATTAACATTATTATCCAATTACTAGTGGCCAAAGTGACAATTTACTATGAAATTGAGTATGTTACTAATAAGTATATTTTTATTAGACCCGATCATGCCAATATAATGAAAAAAAACAATGTAAATCGGCAAACATGTGCATTGATTTTCTTTCTTTCAGCCGCACAAGCCAGATGTCATTTTGAAAATTCCATGTGTAGTTTGGTGGCGGAAACTTCGCCCACATACAAATTTGTATGCGTACGGGAAGGCGACCACCGCAGCTGGACCCTATGCTGGACACACTAACGGCGCAGGTTTGAGTCTTACATCATTTCTGAGGAATTATAAATGCGTAGAAAAGGTGCACATCAGATAATGGAGTCACTTATTGTGACGGCCTGTCATCCTCTTTCTCATTGGTCTCCCCTTATGGATGCAAACATGAATTACAATAAAATAGGATCTGTTAGGTTTATAAACAGCTTCATACCTTTAGATTAATTTTCCTCGAAAGACGTCTTGAACAACATGATATAAGCACTGGGTGAGTTGTGAATTTGACAGCAGACAAAAGAAAAAACTGCACCGATGGTAACTAAAAGAAATAGCTAACTCACGAATCAAGTATTTATGAGGTAGCGATAAATGCAATTACATTTGTTCTAGATTGTGCGTTAGGATACGCAACTAATTAAGTAAAAATAAGTATCTTTATTTAGCACCAGTGCCGTCCGAAGGGTACATTTCCCACGCTACGTCCTGTCACTCATTTCACTAAAAATACAATATGTCCAATATTCTGTGTACAGATTCCTTCCTGGTCATCCACGCAGTACCCGGGAAAACGGGGGTAATTAGTTTTCACACAGCCTCGTTCCACAACGGACCGGTGTGCATCGAGTTCTACTTGGTCCAGAAAGGTCCATCGTCCTACTTAGAGCTACTCCACAAGGGGCCAACTACTGCACCAACGGTCTTTAAGAACTACCACAACAGCAATTTCACGGCGTGGGCTGCTAGCAAGACGTACCTAGAGTTACCTGTTGGTGTGGAATTCTCGGTAAGTGGCGCATTTTTTTTTTCCACATTGACTTAAAACCATTTGTGTACATGTTCTCGAGTGACTCATTTTAAGTAGGTTTAAAAAAAAAAAAATTCTCTAGAGTTTCTACAACTTTTCGTACTCTGGCATAATCATACTTTATGTAGAAATAATGTAATACTTTTTAGGGAGGGAAAGGAGATGGGGGGGGGTTGGGGTGGGAGGAGGGATAGAGACTTTATTGCTAGAGTTAAGTTGACCTAGGCTGAGAACCGCTGACTGCTATATAAAATAATACAGACTTAGCATATAACATTTTATTTTGATTTTTTGTGAGGTAAATTAGTGATGCTTCATAGTTTAGCTTTTGTTCCAGTCTCAAAATTGCATTCTGTATTTTATTTTTTTTACCTTCACAAAACAAATCTCCACCTTATCAAACACATTAATAATCCTCAAATATCCAATCACGTGAACTAATCCTAGCTGCTTCAACCGCACAACTTATCCTAACTGGCTCAACCACATGACTCAACCAAACTGTTTCAAACACATCACTGATATCAACTGTTTCAAACACATCACTGATATCAACTGTTTCAAACACATCACTGATATCAACTGTTTCAAACACATCACTGATATCAACTGTTTCAAACATACAGTTAATCCTCATTATTTCTACAACATTTCTTCCACACTGTTTCAAACACATATTTAAAAGATCATATTTGTTCAACCATATGGCTAATCCCCAGTGTTTCAACCACATTCCAAATCTGAACTGTTTATAAAAAAAAAACTTGACCCATTCCAAATGTTAAAAAAGGCAAGAAAAACAACGTGTCAAATCCCACTGATTGTAACACATGACAAATCCTCACAGCTGCAACCTCATTAATAACAATTAATGTTTCAAACACATAACTAATCCTCACTGTGTCAAACATATTAATAATCTTCATTTTTTCAAAACACATGAGTTATTCCCAAGTGTGCTATCACAAAGCACTGAATGTATTTTAATTACGATTTGAGTCAGAACAACAATTACATTTCTTTAATATATACATATATATATCTTTCAAATAGATCACATTCCAAGCCCACATGGCTGCCGGTGATATTGCAATTGATGACCTCTATATCTACAATGGTCATTGTTTGTAATTGCCTGCTCTGGAGTTTTACCTACTCTATTTATGATAATAAAAGTTATGAACTGACTACCTCCATTCTTTTTCTTTTGTTTCGTTTTTGTTTTTTGTTTTTTTATATTGGGAAATTATGCAAACGTTTTTGTCTTCCAACTGTAAAAAGATAACCTTAAAAAAGAGGGAATTAAAATTCCTGCGAAAATAACCCTTTCATGTAACATGATCACAAGTTTCGCACTAGAAAGTTTTCAAAAAAAATAAATAAACAAATTGTAAATAAGTGGTAAACACACATTGTGGGTACTGTTATCTAGGGAGTACGATAAGAAGGACATTCTGTCACGTTTGATTCAATGTAAAACAGTTTGAATTATTGTCGTGTTTTATAAACCAATCAATCTTGGACTGTTTCAAACTGAATGTCATATTAAGAAATATACGAGGAAATATTTCTTTTAAACTCCCCCTCTCCCAAAAGATTTTTTTTTATAGTGTGGACCGGCAACGTAAGGCTTGAGGAATCGAATCGAATCGCGGAGCACCACTTTGAGAAGCGCTGTACTATAGAGAAGCATACTTAGGTTACATCAGAGTATCTAAAACTGTTTTTTGTTTGGCTCATGACAATTTTTTTATGTTTATCCGTTGTCCCTTTCCACATCATTTATTACAGGAGAAAAACGATCCTATTTTGTATTTACAGACAAAGTTTAAACAAGGGAAAACTTTAAATTATGCTTCACCTACAGCAGAGGAAACTTTGCACATGCTATCGTAGGTGGACCGCTGATGAGGTCAGTTGAGTAGAAAACATCGGATACCAAGTTCTCGGTAAGTTTATGTTACCTAAAATGTAACGCAACTTGTAACATCTGCTCAAACACCACAAAGGCAGAAATTAAAAAAATAAAAAATAATTATCTAGTTAAAGAATGTAGCCATAGTCGTCACATATATAGAGAACTCCATGTAACATCCCACGATGTAACATCGAACCATGTAACATCCCTCTATGTAACATCCCACTATGGAACATCCCTCCATGTAAAATCCCACAATGTAACATGCCACCATGTAACATGCTCCATGTAACAGCACTCCATGTAACATGCTCCATGTAACTTCCCTCCATGTAACATCCCTCCA